TTCCAGTCTCCTTGTGTCTCTCCCTGACAAGTAGATGTCCCGTTTGCGAATCCTGCACCAGTTTCCAGTCTCCTTGTGTCTCTCCCTTTCCTTTCTTCAATAGAAAGACTACCCAAGCTTGGCGTGAAACTGTTCCTGGGTGATGCTAGCATGGTTAGATACACTGCATTCAGCATCTACTGAAGGGTATGTCCCATGAACTGCCACGGTTCAGCTGTGTCATGTATAATCCTGCCACCTCTGCCAAAAGAGGAGCAGCACCCTCAGCATTTCAAGATTAGTTTGCTTCCCCGAGACGGTCAGCAGCTTGCCACACTGAGCTTTTGTCAAGCAGCACCAACTCAGGGCAGGTAGCAGCAGCAGCCAGAGGCTACACTGCTGGCCATGACTTGGTAGCCACTCCTCTCTAGGCATTTTTTTGCAACTCTCAGCCAAGGGCTTAGGTAGCACCTAACCGCCTGGAAGGGCAGGCACCAGGCTGCTGCCAGCCTTCGTCTCGGAGAAAAAACCCCAAATGTTTTCCTCAGCAAAGTATTTTATCGTTTAATCCACCACCCACATCAGGGGCGTAGCACAAAAGCCTGCAGCTCTGCTGAGGTGGGACAACTCTTGGGGAGCTAACGCAGCCTGGAAGGATGCAAAAGCGCTGGGTTAGCGAGGGGGCAGGAGAGGCCCCCACACACGTGCGGGAGCAGAAACGGCAAGGGAAGGTGCCGGGGAGGTAGGAAGCAGAGCTGTTGTTCTCCGTGCGCTCTCGCCGGAGGAAACTAGAGCAAATTTGCAAACCGACTGTAAGCACTGGAGGTGTAACCAACTGTCTCCCACTTCCCCTACTCCTTCATCCCCGCCCCGGTGGATGTTCAGTCGTAGATAAAGCTGCCTCGCAAGTACCTGAACAAGAGCTTACACCATCATAATCAACAACAAAAAAGCCTCCCAACCAAAACACGCATCCTCCGATTGCTACAAGTTAAAATAACTTTTGTTTGTGCAGCACAACATCCGCGAGCTAAAACAGAGCGACTTGACTTTGTCGTCTCTAGGACAGTAAGAACAGGTTTTTCCGCTCTTACGGAGAGGCCTTGCCCCGGTTGGGACACCAGGGGGACCCAGTCACCCGCTCTTGCTTCCCGCTGTCCCCGGGCGCAGGTTCCCCGGGGCGTTTCCGCAGCCCGCTCCCTGCGCCCCGCCAACAGCCTCGGGTCACCCGCAGCAAGGGCGCGCAAAAACCCCGCACCCTGCGTGTTCTCCTGCATTTGTACAGGCTAACTTTTACCGTACAAATACATGCTCTCCCTGGTTATGTCATTGAGAAATTTAGGACCAAAGACAGTTAACTTACTACAGTTTTTGCTTGTTCATTAAAATATGACCGTGCAGAACACGTGCCCAGCACCACATTACTTACTACTAGGTTGCGGCTGGGGAAGGGGAAGTGAAGGGAAAATAAATATGCCCAATCTGACAGCTCAAACCTTGCTCTTTGCTATCGGGAACACCATCGACCAGACTCTAATCTCAGAAAACAGATCCGGTTATTACCCATGGCCCCAACTCCCTTTGCCAAACGTTAGCGGTGTCTACAATCACATTTTCCTTGGAGAAATATTTACTCCTTGACGTCCAAAGATGTTGCAAAGTGCCCAAATAAAAACAGTTCTTCTGAAGTATCTTTCAGTTCCGGTAACCCAGGGTACTGCACTCACCAACAGCCAAGACTGCACGGCTCAGGTTTGGGGGGTGGGGGGCGTGGGTGTGTGTGTGTTTAGCTTGTTGCTGGCTAGTGGTTTGTTGGGTTTGGTTTTTGGTTTTGTTTTTTTTTTTCTCCTTTGGCACATTCACTCCCATCTTCACTGTATGGAAAAACTTCTCAGGATTGCAACAGCAATTAATTAAGCTACAAAATTCTAGTTTCCTTATGTTTCTTAGAGCTGCCACCATGTCCTCTGCTATAATGCAATCTTTATGTAAACAAGCTTTAAAAAGCTATTAATACAGTAACATAAGCAAGATACATTTACAACCCAAGTGACATGACTTGTCTTAAGACAGTTCTGATCTTTTTTGTTTGCTTGGCTTTTCGTTTGACCCTTGCTGTCTTTAGATAGTTAAACACCAGCTCACAACCCAATACAATATTCAGGTATTAGGCTTTCTGTTTGTGAGCAGGAGTCAAATCTCTGCATTTTAGTTATTCTGGATTAATTTTTTATTTAAAAGCAAAAATAAAATTGAACCACACCAGCTCTTGAAACAAGCCCAGGAGAGGAACTGGTTCCACCCTGGCAAACCACACCGACAGGCCTGTGAAGAGCACTGGATCCGCACGGTGAATATTCAGAGATGGAATTTTACTTCCCATCTCCAACAGCATTTGAAAGGAAGAATGGGTTTCCAGTTTGGACACTGCCCTGAAGCAGTGAGTCAGCTGCGTGCAATACTGGCAAGCTGTCAGTCCATCCCCCACCACTCAAGACGTGAGGCATGCTTTCTGCCACGTGAAGGTGCTGGTACGGGGCTTACAGGGTAAACGAGCTGCTCACCTTTTCCAGCATTTATCACCACGTTATATACAAGGTAGTTGCAGTAAGTTCTCCAGAAGAACCCATAAACTATTACCAACTAAATTTAATCCCGAGCTGCACATTTAGTAAGAGGGGGAAAAAAAATCCCTGAAGTCCAACAACTTAAAACTGGAAGACAGACAAGGAAACCAACTCCTAGTTCAAGCCTAAAGTTACAAACCTCTCATCTTCAGAGATAAAAATACGCTATTTTGCAACACACATCCATGAAGAGAAAGGATGGATGGGATGCATCAACAATTGTCTTTCTGAGGCAAACACATTGTGTATTCTTTCTCCTCATACTTCATGCTCCTCCTCAAAGCAGACACCTATAGCATATTTCTGCTTGGCACCTCCCATATTCCTCATACCCACCCCACACACGTGTTTTATCTTGGTCTCATGCATCAGCCTCTTCTCATCCTACTTTACCATTTCTATTCAACTCATTCCTTCCCTCCCTGTCCTGCTAAGGGCTTGAGTCTATCCTCAGTAGGTTGGTGATTTGCATCTCATCTGCTCCTTCCACTTTTAGAGCCAACTCTTAGTACCTGGGTCATCCATTTTTTCTTATTTCAGGAAAGGGATAAATGTGCTGTATATTCACTCAACTTGAAAGCTATGGGGAAAAGCTTGATGGAACTGAGTAAGTGGTAGCAAAAGTCAACAGAGCGAATTCTCTGGAACTGGTTTTGTCTGGTAGGACAGAGGACCTTGAACCTGCCTCTGACAGCTGCTATCCACCCCCACCAGACAGGGTCAGGCAACTCAGATTCAGCAGACATTCTAGAGCGAACACAGGTCTTGCAGCAGTGTAATAACACAAACAGGCTTCAATGCATTTGCAGTAATTACTTACATTCAAGCTTTACTTTACACCCACAAAAAAGCTAAGCGAGTATTTTATATGAAAGCTGACTATGGGAGACCCAAGTTTCTGCAGATCCACACCCTTCCCCCCCCCCCCCCCCCCGCCCCCCGCCTCTCCGTACCTTCTCCTGCAAGTCCCATAAATTTCTTCCAAGTCTTTGCTGCTCAGTACTCATAAATTCCCACTATGTATTTGCAAGTGCATGCAGCTATCTGCATCGCTGCATGCCTGCAGGCAAGGTACACACGCTAGACTTCTGGGGTTTTGAAACTTTGAGTTTGCTGTTGTCATTTAGCAGTCTCCCCGCTTCTTCAAAGCATTCAGCAGGCACACAAATGGTACTTTCCAGCCTGATTACACTTACCAGTGTGACTTAGAGATGTGATCTTTCCACTCCTGACCTTAAAGTGGTCAGCACAGCCAGATGTTTTACGTAAGATACAGGCTGTCAGCTAGCTTCCTCTGATTTGCAAGCGTCTTTCTTTTGAAAAACACCCAAGAAAGACTTCATCTTTCCTTGGTGCAGCGTTTGACTTTACTATGCAAAATGATCCCCCTGCATATTGTGCTTAGCAATGTGGTAACTAAAAAAATAAACAGGTCTACACAGGATGGTTGCAAGTGCTAGAAGGCTTCTTCCTCGTTCAATGTAAAACAACGAGGGGGAATAGGCTATTTCAAGAGAACACGTCAGAAGTTATACAGCACTGAAGCATGGAAAAAGCCTCAAGGCACTTTGGGACCAGCTCAGTGCTGCTGCGCTTAGGTTTCAGCCTCACACACTGGCAAGAGCAGAACTGAGCACCACGGGTACACAAGTGCCATGAAAGGTGCACTAAGGCTGGCAGACTCATCCAGAGCTCCAGGTAACTCTTCCTGAACCAGCACAAGATGGACAAGCACATGCAGGGGGGCTTCACAAGAGTTAGAGCAATGGCAGAAGCACAGCCAGCAAGATGCTTCCTTGATGAACATACAGTCATTACGAAGCTCATCGAAAAGCTTAGGGAAATTGTGTGGCATCTCGTATGGATTCGCATCTATAAACTCTACCACCCTTCTGCCATCTTCAAAGGGCTCCTAATTCATTGGGAGACACGTAAAACTGAAGAGCTCCCATTAAACCTTACAAATCCTGTTTGAAGAGGACATCCATTTTGCACCTCACGTACCTGTCAGAAAGTGTTGAAAAAGCTAGAGTCAGAAAGTGCTGAAAAAGCTAGAGCTGCCTCTGTGACCGTCATCACTCTCCAGTCAGCCTAAACTTGGTGCTGCGAGGGAGAAATCATCAGGAAAACGATCACCACACCCAGGTTAACTGTAGGCAGTCTAAAAAAAAACCCAGATCCTTCTCCAGCGCAGAAACAGCTCTGATTAAAAAAAAAAAAAAGAAACAACAAAAAACCCAAAACACCAACCCATCAAACACACAACAAAACAAAACACCCCCCAGAAAACCACCAAAAATCTACATGCCCCCTTTATCAGGGGGCATTTATAAATTAGTTGCTACGGAGTAGTTTTTAAGTTACATAGATTACAAATAACCACATAGTTTTCAAGAACCTTTATACATCATCTTTTTTAATTAGATTAGCTTTCAAAGCAACTTGAGAGCTCTTTCATAATGAACACTGCTTTTCAAATTACACAACTTTATAGGCAACCTGTAAATGAATCCTGAATTTCTTTGCCTGCTATAGATAAAGGTCTCATATTTTACAGCTGGCTAACATCATGAATAAAAATAGCAGTATGAAGCTTTATCTTTAACCAGGACTAGACACATACAGATCATAAGACAGTTTAAAAAATAGTTTTAAAACAAGGACCTGCTTGGTGATGCTCAAGACCGAATATTCAACCGACATGAAATGAACAGTTTCTAAAGGACATTGAAGAAATGGCTGACCTGATTTGTTGACTTACATGGAGTGAGAAATTAAGCACTTTTTAAACCTGTCTGGCAAGCACAAACCTACAGTGTGATTAGAATTTGATACGCCGTGTAACTGCAGAAGTTTGAATTACAGAGGGACTGAAATGAGTGTAAAGGCTTATGCTTACATTTCTAAAACAAAACCAACCAAACCTCCGTTAAAGTAGTACTTAAAGAAGATGAAGTAGAAGAGGTGGCTTTTTTGCTTGTTTCATTGGTAGCCTAAATGAACTGCAGACCAGACAGTAATGAAGATTTGCACTCCTTGGCCAGGTTGGCAGAGGCACTTACAGTAAAGGTATCCTGTCTGTTTTTCTGGGAAGAAAAGAGGAAAGAGGAAGAGAACTGTAAAGGGCAAGAACTTACTAAAAAAAGGAAAAGCGAAATCAAAACAAAACTGGGATTTCTGTTGGTTCTCCTAAGTGATATACCAATACTGAATTTTTTCCCCCTTCTGTCCGTTTGTTACTAAACAATTAGCTTTTTCATGTTTTACATGAACAATAGTAATCTTTTTAATAAAAAATTACTGAGCTTTCCATAGAAAAGGTCTCTAATTGAATACAAACTATACAGATGCTAAAATGGTCACAAGTTGTAATATATACAGAAATATTTCTGTACACTCACATTGTTTGGCTAAGTAAGGAAATAAGGGACAGATAGAAAACTGCAGTGGGTAAGTTGATCAACCCCCAAACTCCTGTAAATATGAATGCTGTCTTTTATAGGTTTGCTTCTGTTTTCTCAAGCTTTTAAAGCTCAGGAAAAAAAAGAAAGGAGAAGAAGAAGAAAAAAATACTCAGTGTCCAAAACATCCATTTCTTAAAAATAAGAATATCAAAGTTTCTGCACATCTCACATTTATTCTGTGATGTCCCCTCTCCTTGATAAAATGAAAACAATGTAAAAGAAAGTAAATGTTTTCTTACTAAATATATTCCTCAGTATTGACCAAAGGGCAGTGCCTTTTTGGGGAAATCCTTCAGTACAGTGAAAACCTAAAGATGTATTGCACAAGGAGCCTACAGTGATGCACTTCAGCTTCAGTGTGCTGACCATCTCCTTGATCCTATATAATAGATCAAGGTGTCAACTTATAGACCGAATGGGACACCAACATTTGAAAAGGAAATTTAAAAAAGTGAATTTTAGATATTCTATTAACTTATATACAAAGGAAAGGGGGGTGGCAAGCATTCTTTAGAAAAGGGAGAAAGCTCAAAATTTTCTGTCAAGTACGCAAGGAGGTTCTGGGTACCTCTAATAGCCTAGGAAAGCCCTTGTATATTCTTGCAACTTGATGGTATTTACCAGGTCCCCAAAGCCAATGACAGCAACCGATAGTGTCAAGTTCACTTAGTGCCAGTCACTTAACAAAAAAACCAAAACAAAAAAAAAACCAAAACAAAAAAACCAAACCAAAAAACAAAGAAGAGACAGAAACTTCCCCTCTGTGGATTCAACATACAAAACCACAAACTGAATGTTACTAAAATCAAGATACTGATTTGCTTCTGTTAATAAGGTTCAAGAGGACATAGTCAAAAAAAAAACAATACAGCAGCAATCTTTAAAAGTTAAGATTAGTGTGAGATATGATATAAAACAATCAGGTTTTTAGCTGGTAATTAAAGTGCTCCTTTTCTGACTTAAGGTGTAAAGAAAATTAAAGTGATTATCAGTTACTGGCAACCCTTACATTAAATTAGGTCTTTCATGGCAGAGGAGAACAGTATGAACAGTTTTACAAAAATAGATCCATGTTATTTTGGAGAATACTGTAATTTTTTTCTTTTTTTTCAGTTTTTCTTTTTTTTTTTTTAAGACTCAATTTTGATAAACTGTACCTGGTCATACAAAAATTACCCAAAATTCAAACTTTTACCATATAAAAAAAGGGAGAGATGAATTGGATTCAGCTGGATGACAGCAGGTCTAAAATATAAGGATGGACAAATTCTATGTAGGGCACTTATTTATGTCCAGATGCATATGCTGTTTCTTACTGATTGCTTATCTTCTTCACATAAGCAGTCACAGGCCTGGAGTCACAATCACATAGTACAATGCTTCAGCAGTCAAAGAACCTTCTATTTGATGCAACATTGAAACACTGTTTGCTTCTTTATTAAAATGTTGGTTTGTTGTTGATTTTCCTTTATCTTGTTATTCACATTCAAAAGTTAATAGATAGCATCAAGATTTATCAGGGAGAATAGCAGGGGGAGTTGCTAAATCAAAGGCTTATAAAACGTCTTTCCCAACTGAGTCAGAAGGTTTATTAAGTTCAACCCTCACACCTTTTTCACCTGCAGAAATATGAAAAGGAAATCGGTATTATTTTTCAGCATTTATCGAAGTACAGTCTATAGAATTGCTACATCACTTTCCAGATTAGTTTTAAGAGAGTACTTCAAAGATTGTCTAGTACATATGATCTAGCAAGACAGACGTTTTCATATACATGCTCCGTATCCTGTGCTCTGTAAGTTAACGAGCCGCGGTTACCCATCATCTCTGAAAGTGGGCATGTATTTGGCTGCCCAAGTAGAAAACCCGATACTTCGAATCATACGTGCAGTTCTGAAGCTCATCAGCTCAGCCTTTATAAAGGTAAGCTTTAAGAACGGCCTACTGAGAATCTGAGGATATTGACCATTATTCTGTATCAGAATATCTGGAGTTTCTGGGTATTTACCTTTGTAAAGAAACTGAGGGATTTTTAAAATGCAACATTCCATTTGACTTGCTGCTAAAAAATAAACAAAACAAAACCACCAACCAACCGACACCTCTTCTGTCCTTTTTTCTAAAAATTGGTAACTTCAGGTACCCCCAAATAAAAGTTTGACTATCAAAACATTAACAGACACAGTATCCCATATTCAAGAAAAATTCACACATTCTGCATGGCTTTAATTAGACTGACACTAAGCCAAAAATGAATAGTTTTCTATTTTATGACATTTTATTCTATAATTTTATATTTTATTGTCAGTAGAAAATAAAAAGCATCTCGCACAATTCTTGCTGTAGATACAGAGCAAAGAATGCAATTTTAATTGTAAATGAAAACTGAAATCGCAACAATATGATAGCGTAAATCAATTACAGGGCAAACCGATACTGAAATTTAAACAACCTCTCCAACCCAGCCTTCCTTCCTTAAGTGCCTGCAGTTTAGGGGGACCCTGGAGAGGGAGGAGGGCCGAGTGGAGCACCTCCCCTGCAGACACAAGCCCACCCGAACCACTTCCCTGCACTCTCTCTGGAAGTGCAGCAGCTGAAGCTGCGCGGAGACAACCGAAAGAGCTCCGATCTGGCAAGGCTGGCTCCAGGGGCTGTGACACGAAGACCGGCTTACAGACAGACAGGCTTCCTGCGGAGACCAGGCGGGCGTTATCCGGCATTCCTGACTGCCCGGGAAGTCACCGTGCCTCGCCGGGTATGCGCCACCGAGCAGCAGGACAGCCTGCCTGGCCGGAGCTGAGGGGCTCCCTGCATTTCTTCGCAAGCCAGGCAGGAGCTTCATTGCTCTTACCGCTCCCGAAATGCACAAAGTCACTGGCTGCGCCAAGGGGGACTGAAATAAACTGCAGCTTTCGCAGCCGCGAGATAGCTCTGGGGCTACGTATGAGCTTCAGACGCCTAACAGCAATGAAAGGAAATCTCCTTTGGAAATGACTGGCACATGTCTTCAACATCATCGGTTTCAGAGCTCTTGACGAAACCGTGGAGAAACTGGCCCTGTGCATGTATGCACTTGCGGCACACCTGATTTTGGTTTATTTTTAAACTACTGCAACAAACACAAAATCGTGATGGCAATTACAAGCATGACAGAAGTCCTAGGCCATTTCTCCTTATAATGCTAATTGGAACAGGAAAATTAGATCAACTTCCTCTTGAGGGAGAAGCCAGAAAAGGAAAACAGATGCTAGATATGTGGAATTGGAAATGGAGGAAGTAACTCCATTCTTTGATTCCAGATTTTAATTTTAGGCTTTTGTTTTTCCAATATAGAGATTCTAGTCAAGCTAAGTTGCATTCACTTGTTTAATCACTATATTTGATCAAAAGTGTTTCCAGGGCTCTCAGTTCTGCAGTGCCTTACAGTCTCTCATCCTCCACACCTATTAGGGAGACAAGACTAGGGAGAAGCTGTATCCCAAATAGAAAAATACCCAGCAGCCTCAGGTCTCAGAGGAAGCGTGAGCAGGACAAGGCACTGACCTGGATTTCCCAAGTCACTGCCTAGCAGCTCAACCAGTGGGTCACCTTCCCTGTAAAACCTGACTCTCAGTTACGCTTGTTTTCTCCCCCTTTTTGTGCACAGGGTAGGCCAAGGAGGTGAGGCTGCACTATTTAGCTATTCTTCCAGAAAAAAAGAACGCGGAAGATATTAACAAGAGATTACCTGTTAGATATTTTACTTTAGCTCGTGCTCTTTCATCTGCATCAAAATACCACACTGTTATTGCGTACCTGGGGAAACGGATGGAAAAACAACTCCTGAACTATGAAGAAAAAAAAACAGTGAAGCACTTGACATAAAACACAACCTAAATGAGATGATACTTCTGCAGTCTGACAGAAGAAAGATTTCATAAAGCACAAAGCAAGCAGGTTTTTTTTTCCATTAGCATGTATTGTCTGAACAGTCATTGAAAGGGTGACACTGATGCTGTAAGTTTATGCTTCTTTTTCTTGATGAGTTGCTATTACGGTTCTTGCCCAGAACCTGTAACAGAATTTTATAACCTCTGTCCGTATCACCTTGCCCTGTGACCTCATCTTTTACTTTACTCAGTCAAGTCTGCCACTGAGTCACACTGCAAGAACCTCTTTTTTTGGACATTCGCCATAAGGGAAAATTAACTACCCCTTCTTACACAGCTCCTCTGGTTTTCCCCTGCCCGTAAAGGATTTAAATATGAAATGCCAGCTGTTGAGAAAAGACTCTAAGGAGCTTTAGTAAATGGCATTTCACCCTCTGACTGCTCGGAGCACAAAGGGGGAGGGGAGAGCGGTACAGCCTCCCGAAATGGCAGTTTCAAGTTACTTCTTGCAAAGGTACTTGCGTTATCTCACAGCTCCAGTCAATGTTCAGTGCTCCGGCCGCACAAACATGTTGCAACATGGGCAACAGGAAGTCTGGATCAAGGACTCCAATGATTCACCTATTAACGCTGTATCAGGAAACGCCACTCAAAATGTGGGGGCAGTGAATGCAGGTACCTTTAGCATCATCCGCTGTCCTACACTGAGGGATGAAAGAGATACCAAGTTCCCCTTGTGACTCAGACTGGGAGCAACTCCTCTAATACTCCATAGAAAGAAAAGATTTGTGTATCAATGGTCATTTCTGCCCAACAGCCCTCTCCCAACTAGAATGTGGTGGCTTAGTTTGAAAATGACTATTTTCTAACAACTCCCTCCCAACAAGAGGGGACAGAAAACTGAAGTACCTCATCAATCTTCCAGTAACACAGTAAGGTGCTAAGGACAAAGGGAAGGGAGGAGAGTGTAAAGCCATTACAGAGAAATAACGAGGACAACACCCCTTGGCTAAAGTGGGGTCTTCTTACAGCTCTGCGTGCTCCTACCCAGTTCTGTCAAATACACACTCAGAAACTTCTGGTGTTTCCAGTCCCCCCCCCCACCCACCCAAGAGGATGTTTTCTCCAAAACGAGATCAGACACTGGTACAAACTCAGCAGCACAGCAGAAGCCTAATCAATCAGTAGGAAAAAAAACCACCTTCTCGTCATAGTGCAACTGGAACTGTACATGGAAAGACCTGGGATCAGGTCATAATGCATAGTGTAACTCATTTCTCATTAGGATTCACTTATTTCTTGATAAAAGAGGCATCATGCAATATATGGAGAGTCCATTAGTCCTACCTTGTAGCAAATGCTGGCTGTACTTCATGAGGGTTGCGGCGATCAGACCAGAAGAATAGCAGTCTATCAAATTTGGGTTCAATATCAGCAAATTGGGCTTTACCTTCTGGAAATATCCGAAGGATGCCTCCACTTACCTACAAATTAAATATTTAAAACCAGTGCTTGAAAACAATGTCTCATTGTATTTAAAAGTACTGAATATCACATTTGAAAATATTTCAGACACTTGGAACTGAAATAAAACCCTTTATCAGATGCTATAGAAATTACGAATCTACAGCTTTTCTGTTGATACATTTCATTTAACAAAACATTTTACACATTTTTTACTGAGTAATTTCAGAATGCTTGCAAATATTAAACCTCCATTCACGTTTAAGTAAAAAGCTGTGGGTTTAGATTGGTTGTTTTTTAGCTGCATTAACCTACTCGCAAAAAATGGACAAGACTTACTGATACTACACAGGTGGCTAAAAATATGCCAATGCAGATGAGAGAAACATTGTATTTCACACCTGAGTTTCACCCTTTCCCATTAAAGAGATTGTTTCATTTAACAGCAGCACAAGTTCATGTCATGTTTCTGTAATTAAGATGAGAGAAAGACTAGGAAACTTCAAAGTGAACTTGGAATCTGTATTACTCCTGGTCAATTTAGATCTCTTCCAGGCTTTGAAAAAAAACAGTTGGACCTACCTATGCACGCCTAGAAAACAGCACAAGTAGGTGGGGTTAATTAAGTCACTAGGTGGGGTTAATTATTTTTAAGTCACATTAACTTCTTCCTACTGATGGTATTGATGTTGTTAAATCTAACTATAGATAGCCACCATAGGCCTTCATGGGAAAGTCATAACAGTGCAAGTACTAACAAAGTAAATTGATATAAATGACTGTTTTTTAATTGTGATCTAAATCAGTGAACAAGAAGTGACAATTTATATCAATTTGTTCTCCTAAAGAAAGTTTGAGCTTCTTTCTTTGCTAACCAATATACTTGGTAACACATTAATTTGCAATTTAAAATAGATTTTGTAAGAAATTAAATACCTTTTTACATAAATTAAATATCCAGCTAGTAAATTTTTCACAGTTATTGTGAAAATGCAATTTGCTTGACTTCTACACTCTGCTATGTATTCATTTTTTTCCAGGAGAGAAACTGTAAATCAACTAAAAGTGCCCCAAAGCTGCATTTTAGGATGTTCAGTCCAACCAATACACTTATATGTGAAGATGCTATCATGGCAAAAAAGGCTAGTAATTTATTTTCTAATTGAAAGATCAAATTTGACATTTCAAAGAGCAAGTCAGAAACAGAAAGCTTCAAGTGCATCCATTTCTGACTCAGCTTTCCAATCTACCAGTTTTATGCGAGTATGTTATCAGTCTCATTGTCTCATCCAGCTCTTATACAAAATGGACAGCACTCAAAAAAAAAAAAGTAAAAGAAAAACTCTCAGCTGCAACCTGTGTTATCCATACCTGGTGCACCCAATTCACAGAAACTGACTGCTTATGTGCTCTTCCGCATGCTACTTCCTAAGTATGACAGAAGTATCAGTAGTTTTATCTTTTTTTCATATACAATGAGAATAAACTTCTCCATAGCTAACTGCAAAGCAATCAAGGAATAAACAAAGCTATCTTCGCATTACTTTCATGCTTTCAATACAGCCAGTTAGCTATGTCTAACTGGTAGATTCTTCATATCTACCTAATCCCACTGAATCACTAGGAAAATCCTTATTAAAAAGTTACTTTATCATAATCACTACATCTATGGAGAGTTTCAAGTCACTGGTGGTAAATTCTTAGACCACTAGAACTGTGTTATAAATCCTTATCTATTCTACACCCTGTATCTACAATGATACAAAGACTCGTGCTGCTTTGAACTACAGTGATACAGCAATAACCATAACACTTGGCTTATCTGAAACTGCTCCCAAGCTACAGCATCTTTCTTTTTATAAGCATACTCAATTAAGTAATCTAGTTGAACAAACAGTAAACTCAAGATTCAACACAAATATAAGGAGAAATAAACTAAAAGCAATTATCGCTCAACTATTCTTTATTTACTCTTTGTGTGTGTGTGGGTTTACCATACAAATAACGTACAGTAAGTTGCATAATTAGGTATTTATGAAACTTGGATACTAGCAGATACTTATACGTATAATTAAGAAACATAGATGAAAAACATGGAACTTTCCTTCAATCTCACCGTCAAGGAGGTCCTGCTGGCATCGTTCAAAACCTTGAAAATAAAAGCCTCATCTCTATCTGCTCTCACTAACAGCAGAATCGGGGGGCCAAAGGATACCCACAGTTAACATAATGTAAGAACACAACTAAGGCACAGAAATAAGGACATGAACAAAGACCTGTAGCAGAAGTGCATTAGCAAGTATATGTAAAAAAAAAAGTTATAGAAAGAAATTATTGCATACCTTGGCATCCCAGTCTTTATTAAGATAATATATACATGTAACACATCTTCCGTCTCCATTTGGATTATCAACATGGCGCACGTATCCCGTTCCATTGCCTGGATAACAAGCCACCATAGCCTAGAGTCAAAGAATCAAACACAACGATTAATTTTATCTGTGTGTGTGGGAAAAAGTCTACGTTTTATCTGTATTAATTCCTCAGTAATTTTTCCTCAGAAAAATTAAGTTAGAAATAGTGGGAAAAGACTTTTTTAATCTGTGTTTTCTTTCTAGTTGAAAACTGGTTTTGAACACAAACAGACGTCTACAACAAAGGCAATGAAACACATTAAGAGGAACACTGTTAATTAAGGTATGGAAGGTGGGGCTGCTCCCATGTTGTGACTAATCCTTCAGACGTCCCTCCCTTGAATGAAATACAAGAGAGGAAAAATGTCTTGTGTATAATTAAGTAGCATGTGCTTCTCCTTGTGATAAGAATACTCGTTTTCCAGACTCAAGTTCACAGACAGCTATCTTTTTGTCTTTTTTTTTCCTTCTGTGTTTCCAATGCAAAGAATTCCTCCTCAAAAAGTAGCATCAAACTTTATTTTTAGCAGACTTTTTAGACAAGACCATTAGCCCATCTTACTCAATCACTTCAAGTGCATTCTTGGGCTTGTGTTTTGTCCTGTACATAGGAGGTCTTTGAACCTTTGTTGAAACAAGCCTACATGTATAACAAAAACATCCTTTTTAGTCAAGAAGTGAGAAACTGAAAACAGACACCGAACAGTAATCTGCAATAACCTTCTGACATCAAACGATTCCCAGTACAGTAATATATTTAACTTCCCATGCTGCACTTAGCTCAGCTGACTTGAAAGACCCCTAGAAGGTGGTTTGGTTTCTGAGTCTTCAGACATGCGGATGTGCATGTGAAACAAACTGGCCATCTTGCTAACGGATGGCCTGATCAGCTCGATTAGCTATCAGTTCACATGGCCGGTTTGTTGTATGGCACATCCCCATATCTTTATGCATTTGCTGGAAATAGTAATCATTTCAGGTTTTTGAAAGAGATCAGAACAAAGTTTTGCAGGCCAAGTCAGCCACTGCCACCACAGTACTCAGATGTCTGCACTGACAATATCCTATCTGCAAAAAGTCGTAACATGAATTTAAAAGAAAAGCAAAAAAGTGAGTTTCTACCAACAATCCAATACACTACTAACCTCAGTGAGTATCTGCTGGTTAAAATAAAACCTAAAAACTTTTAAACGCAATCATTCCTGTCTAGATTTAGCCTGGTTAAGTTTAAATTTAAAGCCAGACCTCTGGATTGCAAACTCTTTCACCTCTCATGTAAAATATCAAAAATAGTTTTCCCAATAAAGTGTTAACTGTGAAAATGTAACCCATCAGATTAAAAGTATTTCAAATCAACTGTTTCAGTACATTTTTTGATTTATACTGATAATTTTAACTTCCCCCCCTCTTTTTTAAATGTTAACAAATAAAGCTTTCCACAGTTTGCATTACTTGCAAGTTACTGTGCTTTGAGGAGGCTGAGAAATAGTTTAAAGTACTCGCAGTTCAATCAGTAAAATATTTGTATATCGCATGTAAGCAGAATGGATTTTGCTATAGCAGCAAACATTTTAAAATCTTTATTTCCATATATACTCTACTAAGGGAAGAAGCAACTTTTTGGTAGCTCCTTCAAGGCAGAAATCGGAGCATAGTATTTGCCAAGCAGTAGCACCATGGTTATAAAAAAACCCTAAAAATTAAGCCAAACTTCATTCACATGAGATGGAAGTGACTACGCTGCATGAAAAGTACTCTAAACTACAAAATTCAAGTATACTTGTAGTTTTGAGATTAGGCACTTCAGCTTCTCGGTCTCTTTACTGTAATCATAGTGTAGTCATCATTACAGGTCTCACATTACATAAACATATTACACGTATCAAGTAATGTGACCTAATATTTGGCAAAGTCATTACTTACCAGTTTTGCTGCAGGAAGATAAACCGACAAGAATCAAAACAGTGAGTTAAAGATACCAAATAATGTAATAAGGGTTCTGTAATTTCCTTTCTTACAGAGAAAAGAGGAACAAAACAAAAGCGAAGCTGGGCTGGAAAAGGAAGATATTTGGTTTCTACTGAAAGCCGGCCTTCTTGAAAAAAGTCCCACGTAACTCATAAACCCTATCAAGCTCTCATGGAGCATGAGCAGTGCTGAAAGCAGATCCAAGTCCAATCCTGTAACACCATTCCTAATAACAGGAAAGTTTTAATTTAAGGGGTTTTGCTGAGAAGTTTCATGTAAATTAAACCCTGACATTAATTGTTGGTCAACATCTGCGTGAAACAGCTACTAAAACTCACTTAGAATGAAGAAAACATTGAGACCGAGTAGCTAAAGCAATGTCAATTTCTCAGTGAAATCACGAGGATTTAGACTCAGATATGAGAAGGTCTTTAGGCATGTAAATGACCTAAGTATCTGTCACTGAGCTAAAAAACCTAGTGTTAAAAGTTTATGACGGGTCCCACGTCGTCTCTCTGGCCAATACAGGTTTTTTTTCAAGGGTGCACTTGGTTACCATCTGTTCCTCAAAAAGATAATTTTGCAGTTAGAGAAGCATAAATTTGCATCCTATTGCTACATTTTCCTTTAAAAGGTACTGAAATGGGTACTTGTTCTCTTTGCTGAAGGGAAATCAAGAAAGGAATCTTTAACATCAACATAGCTGAAGAAAGAGGACCAGTGGCACTTTTTGGAAAGTCTGGGGAAACACCAGTTGTCATCAACTTCACATAAACAGCAGCCATATTCAATGTCAGACGCGTTTCATACAATCATTTGAGTCTAAAATACTGTCAATGTTTGAAAAAAGCCCTTGTTTTTGACTTTAGAGTCTGAAACTTCTGCTATCATCAACTGCAAGAGACGAGAAACAGTTTTGCTGCGATAACTTATCTAATATGTATTTGTTATAACAGTAAGAATGACTCAGCCTTTAGCGGCAAATTGGAAAGCAAACAAATTTGCGAATCGGCCAGCGTAGCATAATATACATTGCTTTTGCCAGTTAGTGTGACAATTCCCTCTCCCCGGTTGAACTATGATAAGGAAAGTCACAAAACTTAACAATTTACAGGACATGGGAAATATATTGCTTTGTGAAACAATATGAAGTGAGTTCATGTCCAACTGTCATGTACTGCAAGATTACCCACGTGGAAAGGACAAAAAAGTGACCCGGGCAAATAATGAAGTCACATACTTTTGTTGTTTTAACATTTGACAGTATAAATAAGCAAGCAAATACATGTATGCCAAGCAGAGAGAAAATTCTGGGGTTGTGGCTTTTTTTTTTTTTTTTTTTT